AGATGGAAAAGACCATTCTCCTTTTCCTTGCTGATGGAATAGGAGTGGGAAATGGAAAGCTCAAAGACGATTACAATGGAAAAATGTTTTCCCTTACCCAATTATTTAATTTCTCTTCCAAACCTCAGATCCTACTATTTGATAGATGGTCATTGGAAAAAATGCTTTCTTAAACTTTTAGCATGTTGTGTATAGGTTCATGGCAACTCCATTTAGAATGCTGGTGACTTGGCCTGTAATGTAATATTCCAGTCCTTTAGGGCTCTCAGGCAAAAAAAAGACCAAGAAATCACATTTGAATACATGCTATATTAGACTGAGTGTTTGTTCAACACTTTCTGCATTTTCTTTTTTCTTTACTTGGATTATTTTGTCATCTCCCTAAAACCTTTAAACCACTCCCAAAGGCACATGTTAGAACACACTCTCCCCACCCATATATTGAGGAGAGCTCTGTTTTAGAAACTCTTATGGTGTTCATACTCTCCCTCATGGTCTAATGATTTCTAGGAGTCTAGTGATTTGTAAAGCTCTTGTACCTCTTTATGGATCATAAGCTTCTTGAAGAAAGGATTGCTTCTTCACATCTATCTCAGTGAACTCTGCAGCTCATTAAATGCACTGCAAACTTTTTTTTAAATTTCTAAAATGTTCGACTTCCTATGAGACCTATCATAAGATTCAGCAATTACACTCCTAGGTAACTACTGAAGAGAAATGAAGATACGTGTTCACACAAAGAGTTGCATATGAATGTTCATAGTAACATCATTGATAATAGCCCAAAATTGGAAACAACACAAATGTACATCAACTTGTGAAAAAACAAAACGTAGGACATCCATACAATGGAATACTATTCAGCAATAATGAAGAAACAACACACTGATACATGCTACAATACAGATAAACCTTAAAAACATTAGCAAAGTGAAAAAAGCCAGACACAAAAGATGACATATTGTATGATTCCATTTATATTAAATATGCAGAAAAACCAAAACTACAGAGATAGAAAGTAAACTAGTGGTTACCTGGGCTCAGGGTAGGAATGGGGATTAACTGCAAATGGGCATGAAGGATACTGCAGGAGTGATGAAAATGTTCTAAAACTGGATTAGAGAGATGGATGCACAACTCAGTAAACTTACTAAAAATCATGGCTTGTACACTTAAAATTAGTGAATTTCTAATACGTAAATTATAATAAAGTTCTTTTTTAAAGCCTACAGGATTTGGAGTATTCTGGTTTTTTGATGTCAGCTTTTCATAGGTGTTAATGCTGCTAAAGCCCTGAACAGTTCAAAATAGAAGAGAACAGGGCCTCTGGGCCTACGCCTTGCTCACAGAGTCATAAACAAACATATTGCTTCCATTTCAAAAGTCAGAATTCTTAAAATTTCACATGAGGTCAGATCACAGTTAGATTGAGTGCAGCTGCAATGCACCAATGGTTTTCTGGCAGTGAAAAGAGCTGATGGTCTCCCCAAGTGTCTGGCTTAATAATAAAAAGTGACTTAGGCACTGAGCATTAAAATTTCCTCATAACCTGAAAATCTTGTCATTGTGGGATTTAAAATCCTAAATTGGATCATCGTAGCAAAGTAATTTAGAAATCAATCAGCTTCATGTGTAGAAAATTAAAACTGTGGGACCAATGTTTCCCCTAGATATTTAAAATAAAATCATACTTTTAAAATGGTATATACTTTGGCTCTGGTAAATATATATTTCATGTAAGAAAATAGATACAATTCAGTTATCACTAGAGGAGATTTGGAAGTTCCATGAAAGGCTTGAAATGCTGTGGGTTTTTTTTTAAGTGTAACAATTCTAATTATTTTAACTAGTTATATTTTAAAATAATTTTCCTATTTCTATTGTTATGCAACTATCTATAGAAAAGCATCTAAATGCATTTGAGTGAACTGTGATTTGGTCTCCATAGAATTTTCACTAAGCATCCATTTATGAGCTCATATTATAATGGTAGTAATTTATACTTCTAAATTCCCAGGGTTCAAATTATTTGTAAAGCAAAAACTAAACATTGTAAAATTATCACTACTCAAAAGAATATAGACAACATTTTTAATTGTATCCAATGCAAACACTGTCCATTGAGTAATAATTATATACTTGACACAATAATAAAATGTATCAAAATCCTCAAATATCCACAGCTATATCACTTCATAACCACACTAGGGGGGAGGTTTAGTGTTTTGTACCTCCAGAAGGCATCAGGATTTAAACCTCAGGCTCAGTCAATTTCAGAAAGGAGGAATGTATAGCAGGAAGTTCTAACAGAAAGTTCATCTTCCTATTTAACTATGCTGAGCTCAAGAAAACAACAACCAGCAGCCAACCCACCCAGGTTTTAACACACTAATCCAATAATTTTTTGTTGAGCATCTACTGTGTGGTGATACCACTGTCATTGTTCTCATGAGGTTACACTGTAGTGGAGAGAACAGATTTATAAATTAAAATAATCACAAGTTGTGAAAATTCTATAATGGAAACAAACATAAACTGAGAATAATAAAGGTAAGTGGTAACAGTAACGACAGTAGGAACTAATTCTGCACAGTGCAAATGGTGGTACCATTGGAATAGTGACAGAGTATGTCTGTCTCTAGACAGAAAAAGCCTGAGGCAGGAAGTAGCTTGGCATTTTCAAAGAACTCAGAACTTTGCTAGAGAAAATAGTGAAGCAATGAGTCTGACAACTTAAGCTGAAGAGACAGATGCAGAACTTGAAGAACTTTACGCAGAGTTTGAATTGCATTCTAGGTCAAGGACTCACATAATATGATTCATATTGTGAGAACATTTTTCCTCTGGCTTGAGAATGAATTGATGAGATTGAGAATGGCAGAAGGCTGACCAGTTAGGAGACTGGAAGGAAGACATTATAGTGGATTTAACTAAAATGGAATCAAGAAAGAACAACTAAAGTAGATAGATTAGAGAAAGAGGGAATATAAACAGCTATATATTTGGACTTAAAATTCACAGTATTTACAGATAAATTGGATACTGTGGATAAAGGAGAAGAAAGAATAGCATAGCATGCTGTACCCAGATCACCTTGGGTTCCTTTTAACCATTGTGTGTGCACCTCCACCTCCTTCTTGGTGAATCTCTGCTTCCATTAGCCAATACTTATGATTTCTTTGGAGGACTGTTCTTGAGCTACTGGAGCCACTTGGCTCACAACAAAGAGAGCTCAGAATCTGGGGATGCACATTCCCTTGGAAGTTTTTAACCAGTGATTAGTGAGTATAGGAGTATGAAAGCTCCCACTAGGGTCAAGACAACCTGGAGATTTAAACTGGAGTCTTGAGTTTCCCTGAGAGATCTGGTGGAATCCACATTTTATGGGAACTTTTCCTGAGATCTCATTCTTGCTGGACATCTTCTTCTCCCTGTTCTGTTTCCATAACTTCCTTACCAGTCTCCCATGATTCTTTCCTTAGTAAATCATTTGCAAGGAATCCTGTTACAGGGCCTGCTTCTAGGGAACCTAACCCAAGACAGGAAGTCAATTACTCATAAATTCATAACTTTACAGATGAATACTGGGGTGATGGGAGAGTTTGTAATCAATAGTAGTATTTTAAATGATCACCTTAATGTAAATTCTCTTGCTCCAACTTCCTTTTCACTGACCTCTTATACCTTAAACTTCCTTATGTCTCTCTCCTCTATTATATTTTCCTGATAAAGCTCTAACCCTAGATAAATCCCAGTGCCTGCCTATTCCACATCTGCACCTGCAGTGATCATAACTGAAGAAAATCACATGAGCATGCTGACTGGTCTCCTACAGGGTTTATGGCCGCTTATCTCAAGCAGTCCTTTCCCAAGGTCAAGAAATGCTATTTATAGTTCTATATCCCATTATCCCAAGATTTTAGAAAAACATTTTACATCTTTTCTTCCCTTCTCAAACCTCTAACACTTTCTCCTCCCATCCCCCACCATTCTGATGGTATTGTTTCCTATTTCACTCAGAAAGCACAAATAGTCAGAAGAGAACTTTCTCATGGCTGTATCTGGAGGCCTTTGCACTTGTTCCTCTGCCTGAAACTCTTTACCTGGGCATGTTCATAAACACCCTCTCACTTCCTTCATGTCTCTAATGTCACCAGATTCATGAGACCTTCTCTGATCACGCTTGTTGATTACTTTTGAACCAGAGCTCTTATTATCATTAGGAATATTATATATTTGCTTTTATATGTTCTAATTCTCTTTCTCCTTCCTCTGAGCTCCACAAGTTTAAGAGTGTGTGTGTGTGTGTTTTCCACTGCTTTGTCTTCAGGACCTAGAAAAGAATCTGACACAAAATGGACTTTCAATCATTATTTGCTGAATGAACGAATGTTAAAGATACCTTGAGACATCCAACTCTCCAACCAAAGAATCAGGTCCATTGTGCAACTCCATTTTCTATAGTGGGTGAGCACTCTTATTATTTAACTACATTATTATTATTATTGCAATTACTTTCCAGTTTATTTTCTCTTTAGCTCCATATTCCAGTTCCGTAAGTGGCACTGGACATTTAAATTTCAAGCACAGTTTTGCCTATTTAAATAATCTATAGTTACTTAATATATATAGTACAATATAAACATTATATTGTATAATAGCTGTTATACTGTATTTTTATTTGTGTTATTTTTATTGTTATATTGTTATTTTTGTCGTTTGGTGTTGGCTTTTTACAAATATTTTTCTGTTCAATAACTGCAAACTCTGTGTTTTCCATCAGCAACATTTTAGCCAAATGCCTATCACTTTGAAAAACTAGAAAGAAGTCCTGACAAGGAAGATAAGTATATTCTATTTAGTACCAAATATACCTTCTATAATTACAAAATAACTATTTTGTCAGGTCTATGTAACACAACTGGAGGCACCTTTCATGGTCAGTTTGCTACATTTTGGCTCTTCAGAATTCGGTATTGAAGAGCTCCTCACCCTTCTTTAAACAGGTAAACTTAAAACACACAGGCAGACACACAGGGACTTGTAGAGACATACCGAACCAGGTATTAAACCTGTCTAGCAGGTTAGCAGAGGCAAAGAAAGGTTAAAATTATGCCACAGGCACATAAAACACTTTCAACATTTGGCTGTCCTAAAATACTCAGTTTAGGCATCCCACTATATCTGTGTGAAGTATCAGCCTTTATTGATTATTTGGAGGAATGTTCTGGAAAGTAGATAGATTATTTTCCATGTTGGTTCACTTTGCCTCCATAAGTCATCAATCTAAAAACAGAAATAAGAAGAATCACGCCATGTAAAAACAGAATGACTTGCCCCAGAATTGGGACATTCATTTTAAAAGTGGGAAAGTTACAGAGGTGTTAGAGATCTGTCCAATAGATACTGAAGCCAGTCAATAGCAGAATTGGGCAAGAACACAGCTCAGGTAAACTCTTTCTACATTCCAGTATTTCTCAGTCGTATTCTCCAGGACTGCAAGTTTTTTCTTATGAAATTTTCTGTCTTAAGAAACTGAATCAGTGTTTTACTAATTTGTCTATAAGTTGTAAAAATATTACTACAGAATAAAAGTTTTAACTTTATAACTGAGATAATTCAACATGAGAGCAATTGTCAGATGTAAAGCAATCAAAGAATATTCCTCAAGATTCAAGAAATTGCATGTTGGATCACACTATGGGACACTATTCTCTCCCTTCACTCACAAGTTGATTAGTAAGTGTCTTTAATCATTCCATGCCATGAGTCCTGTCCCACTGTCCCCAGCTCACATCCTCCATGAATAGAGGCTTTCCTACTGCCTCTTTTTCTTCAAAAGTTACCCTGAGTAGGGGCTTGGCACATAGCTCACAAAAAGGTGTCTTAAAGGAACCTAAAACCCTGTAGGAGATTTGTAAAATATTTCCCTTCCAATTCAATAAGCATTATGCACTGTCTACCACAAGCAATGTAATTTCTTAGGACTGCAAAACTCATGATTGTAATAATTAACATTCTGGCATGAGTGCACTTACAACCTAGAAGGGGAAACAGACAAGAAAAGTTCTAATATGACACTGGCTGCAACATGTGTTGTCATTGCAACTGCAGCTCAGATGTTAGAAACTGATTACCTGGCTAACATTCAAACTGTTTGGTGTTTCTTTTACTTTCCATTTTTATCTGTTTTTAAGATCAGTAAATGATATAAAATACCAATAGTAGAGAAGTTTTCAAATGTTTACATTTTAATCTTCTACATAAAAGTAAATTTCAAGATCTTCACAGTGTCTCAAACACATTAAGCAGGTGTTCAATTATGTGTTTAATGAATAAATAATTGAATGTGATACAAAATTCGAGATTGTCAAACTGCATGCCTGGAAGCTGATTTTGACTTAAGGATAATCAAGGACTGAATAGCTTTAATAAATTCCAGATTCTCGGTTTCAGGGATTAAAGAAGGGAGTAGTAATGGGGTAGAACACAAATTGATTACTTCTCAGAGGAAGATGCACTGGGCTGTCACTCAGTCAATCTGTGTAAGCCCTGGAAAGTCCTTCCTACCACTTTCTGATTACCTGGAGATACCTATTAGTCAGGAAACTAGTGGGGCTCCCTTCTTTTGGAAGCAGTGCAGGATACAGCCCTTACTGAGCCTGCTGATCTTCAGAAAAAAATCATTGCTGCCTCTGCGTGACAGTGTTCTTACACAGAGAAGGAAAAGAGCATTGAAGCAGCAGTGTAAGAATGATGTCCACACAACAGCCAAAGTTCTCAGCTAAGCTTGCTTGTTGTTGTTCTCACTGAAGACTGGCTAAAACCAAACAGGCCTTGAATAATGACAACATACAAATCAATTTTTTATCCTTAATGTATTTTGTTAAGAAAATATAAATTTGAAACTTAATAGTCAAATTTATTTTAAGCATGTGATAAGGAGATGTGGGATTAGTAATTTCAAAAAACCAATAGAATTGGTTAAAAATTCAACCCCCTCGTTGTTTTCATACGGCAGTTTTCAAATTTGTATAAGACATTTATCACTAAACCTTTGCATTTAATGAATACCATTATATAGATAAAATTAATTTTGTATGTCAAGGATGCAATAATGAAGAGCTACATTTCAAACATGACTTTGAATTTACCTAAGGTAAATCCATTATTTTACCCTCCAATTACTAGATAATTGACTTTTTAGCCGTGGTATAATTGATATCCTCATAAAAGACTTTCCATTAACTAATTTTAGAATAAAGCTACTGTAATACTTCTATACAGGATTTGATTTTCTCACTTAAATGCCTTTTCAGCTGCAAAATGCCTTTGCTTTCAGAGCACCTCTGTTTCATGAACTGTTACAAAGTAAAAAGTTTTTATGTGAACATTCTCTTGCTTAACCTTTCCCTGATACTGACATCAATGATTACCCCACTGAAAAATTACATCAAATGTTTGCATTTGAGAAGTCAATTTTCCCCCAGAGATTGGAGGGGAGAGGAGGAATTTACAGTTGGGAAGTCAAAGATAGAGTGGGATTTGCTGACAATACTCTAGGATATTATCAGTAGAAATAGGAAATTGCTTTTCACCATTATTACAGACACATCCTACAAAATCCTGAATCATCAGGAACACAAAGTAAAGGGGGTCAATTGTGGTGATGATTCTACTTATCACTGCTGGTTAGAAAGAAGTACTTTCACATGTATTTTTATACAATTAAGGACTGAGTTTATTTTTAAATGTTGGAGAAGGTGGCTTACTATCAGCCCACACAGTTTAGTCTTGAAGAATCTTAATAAGTTTTCCTCGCAAGACAGCGTGGGCTTTGCAATTCTTTTTGACTACTCAAATAGATGAGTGGCCTAAAGAAAAGCAGGAATAGGCACAAACAGAAGACCTGCATGCCACAGTGGTGGCATATGGCTTTTAAATAAGGGCAATATCTTGGAAGTAACTCTGGCACACGGCAGAGACTGGTGAAGTTTGAAGTGACGGACAGCACATAGCAAGGGTAGATGTCTTCCCGCCCTGGTGTGGCTTGGGTGTCACAGGGAGAGATATGCAAGGCTGTTTTCTAAACTCCCACTGAAAAGATAGATACCTGGTCCTCCTGTTCTAAGCAAGAGCTCAAAATGAAAAGGAAAACAACTTCAGTTCTCATATTAAATTTGAGTTATGGTGCCATAGAGAAGCTGATATTTCCAGGAAGAGTTATAACAGCAGCAAAAACGGCCATTTGCTTCTAACTTTGAAAGAGTGACAGCCCACCAGGGTCTCAGTATGGCCCACCTACCTGCAGCTCTCAGCTTTTTGCACAAAATAGCAGCTTCTTACCATTCTGTGACTTTTAAACAAAAAAAGTGCAGTCTTGAAGAGGTTTCTTGGTGTAACATTAGCAGTTAATCAGATAATTGCTAAACCTCTTGCCAATAGCCTGCAGCCATTCACTGTTCTGAATAATAAGTGGATTATTAATTTCTTCATTCTGGCCCTGAGCCCCTGCTTCTGCTCCCGTGGCTGCTTCTCGAATCCCTGCTGTGTCAGCAGCCCCACTCAGATGCTTGGGCTTTCTATCTTTCACATAAACCAGGATGCAAATTGTTGCTTGTAGACCCCACAGGTAAATCCCTTCTAGCATTTAGAATGCAGAGATTGTGAACTCCTTTTTTTCCTCTAGGAAATTTGCTTTCAATTGTTCCCAGGTTATCAGAATCAGACCACAGTAGAAGAAGACAGCTGATACTGTCCATTTCTACAAAAATCATGATTGTTTGGCATGAAAGAGGCAGCCCAATTTGCATAGTGTCTGGGTAGCAGTAAGGTTGATTCCTCATTTCACTGTGAATCCCTTAATTGAGCAGCTATTGATGATAAGAATTGCAATAGATGCTAGAGGAGATACAAAATAAGATAGTGATCCTTGTGCTGCAGATATTACTGTCTTGTAGAGGAAAGAGATCCCTACATAACTAAAATGTAAGCAAAAATTAGATAAGTGCAAAAGAGAAGTAAAGAAAACTGTACTACAAGAAATTCTGAGAAGGGGAATTCACAGCCTGTTGTTTGCATGCCGCAGCAAAAGTGTCATGCAAAGGGTTGTGTTTGAAGCCAGGAGATAAGCAGCATGGACTGGACAGGAAAGATGAGAAAGATACTCTAGGGAGACAGGAGAACTGACATAAACTGAAGCCTTCCATGGGTTCAAGCACTAATTGAGTTTTTTGTGTGTACTAGGCACTGTACTGGTCTCTGGAAATACAAGGATAAATCAGCCACAGTCCCAGCCTTTCTGAAGAGACAGACAATGAGGTAATTATTATAGTACCACGTGATACATACCAAAGAAATAGGCTCAAAGCAGAGGAGTATTTTTGACTAATGCATGGAAAGGAAGAGAAAATGAGCATGGAAAAATAATGTAGGGTTATAGTGAAAGGCCACAAAAGCCAGGGTAAGGAATAATAACTCAGGAGCAGGATGTGGAATTGAGAAAAGAAAAGAAAAGAGAAAGCAAGCAAGCAGATTCATGAAATAAATATTTCACAGGGAGATTCAGTGGGGGGTGATGGTGAAGGAGAACACAAGAACTTCTAAGGTGTCTTAGAAGTTTCTTCAACATAACTTTTGTAAAACCAAGCCCTAAATGGTACTCTTCAAAAATATTAGGAGTTACTCTTAAGATTTCCCAAATTAAGCGAAAGAGGGGCAGAAGGATGGAGAATAATTCTTATATGAAAAACTATAGCTGGAAGTCAAGCAATTAACTTACTGATATGTAGAGCTAAAAAATAGTTTCAAAATCTATTAAATCACTTCTTCATGTTTCAACTAACAATATAAACTCAAAAGCGGGTAAATGGCTTTTCCAGAGTTATACAGTTGAGAATTGCTAAGACTAGATCCTAGAACAATTTCCGATTCCAATTCAGGGCCCATCCTTGTCATGGTTCTATTGTGCAATATGATCTTACGTAAGGGTGACAACCAAGACCTCTGCACCAAAAGCAATATTCTGGCTTCTTTGGCAATCATCCTAGCAGTCTGGCTGCCATCCATCTGTTCTCCTTTTCTCCAGTCTTAACCCCCTTCACCAGGCTACTAAAGTGATCTTTCTGAACAATAATCTGATCACATAATAATTCCCCTTCAGAAAGTCCTTTAGTAGACCTTTAATCTATATTGAATCAAGTCCAAATGGGCTGGCCAGTGCCTAGCCCCAGTGATCACACCCCCACCCTACACTTTACTGTACTAGACCTCTCATCTTCATACCTGATTTAGCCAGACAGTTTAGCAAACATCCCAGGACAGTCCATGTCTTTATGGCTCTACTGAGACTGTGTTCTCTGCTGGATTCCTTTTACAAATAAAACAGACATAGGAGAGAGTTAGAGGTTCTCTGATAAAGAGCTATACTGAATATAGCAGAACACAGAAGAGGGAGTAGCTTTTTTTCTACTTGTCATGGTTAGGAAACGTTTCCTACGAACAGTCTGAGAGTCTTAGTGATGATGAGGTATTTGACAGATGAATAAAATGGGCTCAGGATTTATAGCTGCTTTTGCACCCTAATGGCAGATTAGTTGTGACATAGAATACATGGCCAGCAAAGCCAAAAATATTATCTGCCCCTTTACAGAAAAGGTTTGCCAATCACTTTCCAGACTGTAAGCTCCTTGAGGTCAGAGACAATTTATTTTCTATACTTCTAACTTTAGCGTTTAGCATATAATAGATACTCAGCAAACGTTATTTGAATACATGAATCTTTTTAAAATGGAAATACTTTGCATATTTTACAGGTAAAAAGGCAAAGAGGCAAATGGAAAATTTTAAAGAAAGTCTCTTCAAAAATGTTTAAATTGAAAAAATATACTTACATTAGCTGGGTCAGCTCTTTCAATTAATATGGAACCTCAACTATATGCAATAATTAATTTTCCCCTGGCTCTGTACAGCTGAGATTTTGCTTATCAGTGTTAGCATTGAATTTTTATGGAAGGACTCAAGTGCAAAGGTTCAATGAATGTGAGGTAGAAAAGTCCCCAAAGACGGCAAACTCTCTGCACCTATTTTCATAGCCAGCAGTGCCAGAATTGAGTAAGAAGAGTCAAAAGCTCTCCACAATCAAAGACCTCAGGAGAAGCCACCCACCTCATGGATGACATACTCTGCCTGCATATCTGATCATTTGTCTGAATGTCTCTAATGCAATGGCCAGCCCTGTACAGCCTGGAGCATGAATTTATCAAAAGGAAATTGGTTCCTAAATGTAAAACTCAATACATCAAAATCTACCAGGCAGACCAGAGAGAGACAGAAAGTAGATTTAATATTGCATTTGGCCATTATAGCCTCAATCCATCTGCCATCATTTACCTGAAGGCCTTCAGGGCAGCAGACGTGATAAGCAAAACTTTATTCCCCTGATGAATTTTTCAGGGCCACCCTTAATATTGAAGCTTTCAAGATGAGGAATGATTACATTTGACTGGTCCTCAAAGAGCCTTGTCACTAAACAGTCAGCATCTATGGGCAGGACTGCTGGAAAGGACTTTCAACCTGGTGCAAGCCATTCAGTCAACAAAATGTATTGGGCCAGAAGTCTAAGTTAGGCATTCCAGGATATAAAAGATAGTATGGTAATAGTCCTTGCTCTTGGATAATCCATATAGGAAATGGAGAAAACAGATATAGAAGAAAAATATAGGGAAAGTCATATAGCCTAAGAATGAGTACAGATGAAGGAACTGCAGGTATCAGAGCTCTGGGGAGGAGGACAGAGTTATTTAGAACATTCTCCATGAAGAAGACAGAGTTTAAAGGGTCATCTGAAAATGGCAAAGGTTAGTAGAGAAGAATGCAAGAAGGAAACTACAAATTGATGAGCCTAGTCCGAAATCTATGGCAGGGGGTAATAAGATGAAAGTGGTGAGATGTGGGCAGTTAATTAATTGCAAACAGTCCTTGAATCATGACATGAGAAGCACAGACTTTATAATAAGAATGTCTTACAGTTAAAGCAATGCTACCTTGCAAATTATTTTCACATGCATTATTTTCTCACAATAACCTTCTTCCTATAGATTGAAATCCTCCCTTACTGTTCCTCCCCTAGTACACCTCATCCTCAGTACTTCATCCACCTAACCTTCAAATACATGTTGAAGTGTCACCACTTCTGGGAAATAGTTTCCTGATTCTCAGACTAGATCAGATCCCCATCTTCCCACAATTTATTCTCAGAATACCATGTAAAATTCCCAAGGAAGACAATCCAGGGATGGGATGGTGGCTTTGTTTCCCAAACTTCCCAGGGACTCAGGCCCTCTCTGGTCTTTTGTTCTACTGTGGCTTAAGGAATTTCCCTCATTCTCATGATCCAAAATGCAGCTCTGACCATTGTCCACATTCCAATCAGCAGGACAGAGGAAAGGGACTAAAACTAGAGAAAAACGATATCCATCAGGTATCTAGAAACTGCCACATGTATTTTCATATTTATCCTGTTGATCAGAACTTAGTTATATGATCACACTTCACTGCCAAAAAAAGAAAAAAAAGAAAAGGTTGGCTGATGTTTTCTGCATATAGCTTCAAATTCTCTTAGGTGGATGATGAGAAAAACAAATATTAGGCAACAGTTAGTAGTCTATTCCACAAGGCCAACACTTGACAAGCAGATTTCACTTGATGGCAAATCTATATTCCCAGATTCTTTCATTGGTCCATTTGCTTCAGCCGGTTATAGTATCTTGTCCAGAAAAGAGGTGAATTTAGTTTGCTCACCTAGGTATCCAAAGCATGTAGCACAGTGTCTGGTTTGTTTTGGTTTTGGGGTTTTTTTCAGAGTAGCTTACAAAAAAAAAAGTTCGTTGAATCAATGTTGGTAACAGGTCATATGCCAATTTTACAGAAGAAAATGTTGAGTATCCTTCATTCTTCAGGTTTGTGAAAGTAACGGATATAAAAGAATGAATAAAGTCATTTTGTGATGGTGAAAGAAGCACTTCTGAATTTTAACTTAGTGCTATCTTTCAGACACTACACTACTCTCTAAATTGTATGTGATTGATCATGTACAAAATGTGACTTCCCAGCAATTTCTTCATCTGACTAAGAGAAAGCACTGCACAATAAAGGAATGCTTTTCTGAGTGTGGGAAATGGTACAGAGGGTGCGGAATGGGGAGATGAGAACAACTCCTGGAATCCTCAAGTCATACTAATAAAATCACAAGGTTATATGATCCCTTAGAAGACATCTAACCCAATAACCACCATGAGAATCACCTGAGAAAAATGTTAAATCACCCTTACTCTCTAAGCCCTAAAGCCTAGTGAATCATCATCTTCAAACACGAGTCTAAGTAAAAATTTCCAAAGATGCCTGCTTCAGACTGGCTATTAGTGTCCCCCACAAAATTCATATGTTGAAATTGTAACCACCAAGGTGATGGTATTAGTAGGTTGGGCTTTCAGGAGGTAAGCAGGTCATGAGTGAAAAGCCCTCACAAATAAAATTAGTGCCCTCATAAAAGGGACTTCAGAAAGCTCCTTTAACCCTTTTGTCTTATGAGGACATGGCAAAAAAAAAAAAAAAAAGACAGCTGTCTATGAAACAGGAAGAAGGCCTTCGCCAGACACTGAGTCTGCCCACTCCTTAATCTTGGACTTCCCACCTTCAGAACTACGAGAAATAAATTGTGTTGTATATAAGCTACCAGTTTATGGTATTTTGTAGTAGCCAGAACAGACCAAGACAATGACTAGGTTACTTTTGTTCACAATTAAACCTGAAAACACAAAAATAATTCAACAACACCTCTCCCAACTCAATTCTATATTTAAATTCACTACAAAACTGGTTCTAATAGTTTATGGCTTGCTTTATGGCAGACATCCAAACTGGAGAGGAAACATTCTATTTTCTCCTTCCACAGCATCCTAAGGGAAGTTCAGCACATCTCAGGGGTATTATGGCTAGACTAGATATAGGCTTTAGTCCCTATAGACCTGAGTTCAGCCTGGATTTCCAGTTATTAGGCATGAGTCCTTGGGAAATTTTTAAAACTTTCCAAGCTTCAGTTTTCTCACTTTCTCATCTGTAAAATGAGGGTTATTATAGTACAAACTCAGTAGATTTGGGTTTTTGGGGTTTTTTTTTTTGGTATCAAAACAAAATATGTAAACCATTTAGACAAATTGCAGATATTATTTCTTCCAATTTTTTAGAGCAACTATACCTAGTGTCAATTATATTTTTGTAGGAGTTAACTGAGAAATATCCTAAAAGGTTTGCAAAAATCTCGTAAGTCATAAGGAAAAGGAATCTACGTAAACAGTGTGAAAGATACAAGAAATGTTTATTATCATGTAAATGGGGAAATATACACTTGAGTGGTTTGGATCCATTTTTTTATCTTTATGCTAATGTCAAGTGTCTGATATCTATGTATATTTGTGGACTTTTCATCAAGTCACAACAGACTTTTTTTCTTGATTAATTTGCCTGTGGAAAAGTGGTGACTTTTTAAAGTTAGACAATGCAGTTTTTCTTGTCAAAATGTTTTAAAACCACAGAGAAGCTCTATGAAATAGGAGGTTCTTTATATTTATAATGAATTTAGACTTTCAAGATCCAGGACCAGCTAATTCTTCTTAATTTCCTGTTTCCTATTGTCAACCAAAGATGAACCAGTACTAATGACCATGTTTTAAATGTAATCCGCAAATACTCAACAGATAGTTTAACAGCAACTTAGAACATGAATGCTAGGGGACAAATTATACCCTGCAAGCTGAGCTACTATCTACTATTCTTGGTGAGTGCAGCCAAAAAAAAATGTGTTATTGGCACCAAATGAAATAAAAGAATAGAGCTTCACGATAATACCTGGCAGAGGGGGGGCGATGGGAGAGGGTGTCTTTCACAACTCCCGTGGCAGTGTACTGAAACAGAAAAGTACTAAGGGAAGACAGTACAGGAAGATTAAATATGATCTTGAACAGTGATATCCCCAGAGATCTTAGGCTTTTTATTCTTCCAGACCTAAAAATTGTCAGGATTTTGAGTAAATCACAAAAGCAATTGTCATCGAGAGCATTCAAAGCTGCTCAAACAACTATTTTAAGGCGAGGGAAGCTGGCAGGCAAAGTGAGCATTGCAGTAGGGAGTCAGTGAAATGAATAAGTATGGAGAATATAAAACACTGTTAAAAAGTAAGAGCTGCCACATTTGAGGCAATTCGGCCTCGGTGTTTACATTTATATAGAAGGCTGTTTATGGGATTGTCACAATGTATGCTTTTACCATTTTAGCATAATGGTGTTGCCATTGAGGGTACTAGGAAGAAAATGATAGACCAGTTTCCAAGACAGACTCCAGGTTTAACTCCCTCATAATTTCTCAAATGCCTCGGACAGAGTTGAAAATTTTGTAGAGGAAAGTTCTGAATGACTAATGACCTCTAAGCTAAAAAGAAAATCAGAATTTAAAAATGATGACGCTGAAAGCAATAAAAAGGATACACATAGACTCCAGACTTCTGCCTCCCATCCCTGTTCAGAAACCATACTCGTAAACTAAAGAAACTGAACTCAGTCTCCCCACTGATGTGATGGACATTCATCTGTAGTCATAAACATTTGGCAAAGCTGAAGTCAGTAGTGATTTTATTATAACATTAATTCACTTATCCAAATGGGATTACACACTGTGGTATTCCTTTAGAAGTTATACTAAATATTATAAGCAACATGTTTAGCTGTGTATTGATGTTCACTAACCTTTTGTGGCTTTAATTTCTAATATAAATTCCTATTAAAATTGATAGTTCACTCTGGGTTTATTGTAGATGGGGAATAAAGTTACCTTTAAAAAAAAAATCTACTTCAAGGACATTTATGCTATAGTTGACTTTACAACAAGGGAAATAATATGGGTAATGAATAATATTCTGACATGATCAGCATTTTAATATGTGAACCAAAGCAAGATCAAAATATTAGATAGCTCAATGGCAATTTATTTTAACCACTTCTTTATTCATTTGACAAGTATTTACTGAATACCCACTTTGGACCATTTACTGGGGATACATCACTGAATGAGGATGTCCTGTGCACTCCATCACGTTGCTCAGAGTCTATTAAGGGAATCAGAGATCAAATAATTACAATAGGAGCCTGTTTTTGTTTTGTTCTTGGCAGCTTTGTTGAAGCATAATTGACATGCAATAAACTTTTGACACATGTATATACCAATGAGAATATCACTATACACTCAAGATAGTGAACACATCCATCACTTCAAAGTTTTCTCATGTTCTTTTGTAATCCTTCCTTCCTGAGTCTCCCCATATGCCTTCCCTCCAGGCAACCGCTGATCTGTTCTCTATCACTACAGGTTAGTTGGCATTTTTTAAAGTTGTAGAAATGAAATCATATAGTTTGTATTTTTATTCAGATGGCTTCTTTCACTCAGCGTAACTATTTTAAAATTCATCCATGTCGTTCTATATGTCAACAGCTTGTTCTTTGTATTGCCGGATAGTATTCCGTTGTTTGAATGTCCCACAATTTGCTATTCTGTTGACCTGCAGTGGATATCTGAGTTGCTTCCAGGTTTTAGCTACTACAAATAAAGCTTCTACAAAGAAGCCTGAGTTTTAATTATACATGGGTTATAAGTGGACATGAGAAGAAATGGAGTTCAGACCAGAGGGAAAATCAAGTGGCTGTACTTTGGAATAAGCCTAACACTTCAGATAAGAGGTAGGGGGATTTTGCTTTCAATCATCTTCCTTGTTTTTGGCAGGTACAGGGATAGGCTAACCTAAAGACACAAAGAGAGGTTAATAGGTACTTTACGAAGCCTTCTCAGACAGTCCACATTCACAGAAACTATCTGCACGCTGTAAAAGCATGGGAATCTACCTTCTGTTTCTTGAAGAGAATGAATGCTTTGATCTGTGTATATTTGCTGCTCTCTTGAGTATAGCCACTTATCAGCTTTATCTAGGCTGATGTCATCAGAAACCAGGTCACTAAATCAACCTCCATTGCAGTACCTAGCATATTGGATCCACTTAGTAAATATTAGTGGAAGGAAAAAAAGAGGGAAAGGGGGAAGAGGGTGAAGGAGAGATTACATAATGGTAAAATCAATGAAGATGGAGGTATACTAAATAAAAATCTTTCGGTTATTTATTTTGGCTGGCAGCATGGATAAAATCAGACAAATGCTATAAATACTTGCATAATGCTAAAAACATTTTATGATCATTTCTATGATCTCGAAATAAGAGGAAAACCCCATGGGCAAGAGGGCCTTCTTGGTGGAATACCAGTTTGTTCACACCTCCATTAGCACCTTTTTCTCTTCACTTTACATTAAATAACAAAATGCTTTAATTTTGTCTATGAAAGAATCTCTGATTGGTTTAATTGACGAGAGATTCCTTTCTCTTTAAGTCCACGCTACTTTGTCCCCCACCTCCTTCTTCTATGGTCCTTATCCCATTAAGCCTTGTACTATTAGTAGTCATGTATTTATTATTATCTATCTTACTAAACTGTAATATCCTTAAGGGATCTGTCTTATTCATCTCTGTATTTTATCTAGAGGCTTTCAGAATGACTTGAAAATAGTAGGGGCTTAATAGATGTTTGTGATTAAATAAATAGATTAACAAATAAAAGAATGAAAATGTTCTAGTGTTTGCATTATGTGAAAGGCAGGAAGAAAGATGCTTTCCTTATATCTCAGCAACTGTTTCTAATGTAATGTGAGAAAGCCCCACCAACATTATACACACTCTGGGGGAAAAGCTATGGGTAAGTAAATGCTATTGAAGTAGAAATGTGATTTTAATATAGCAAGTTATAAGCCACCAACTCTTTGGTTGTAATTAATCCAGGTAATTAGCCAATTCCCTAGGAGGATCCTGAATGATAAAAAGAAACATAGGTCAGGCAAGTTTTGATGGGAAGAAATGCAAGGCAGAAGAGCCCTAGTGCATCTGTAAAGACAATGAAGACCTCTGGCAGAAAATAGATTTTTGACTCCTGGATTTAGATTTAGAATGTTACGTGCATTTTCATAAAGTACATTTTCTCTAATATGACCCAATACTCTCAGTTGTTGACTAGTGCTGGGTAGAACAGGAATCTTGGCCTTCCCTTTGGGTACTAGGGCAGTAGGAGAATGTGTTTATGTTCTCGGAGGTTTGATCACATTATTGACTGACATTGAGTGTACTGTGGAGGACATCCCTTAAAACCTTGTACTTATATTCATGAAGTTGTATTTCTTCTACTCTGTAATTATATCATTATGCTTTTAGACTTGAAAACTGGACTCTAGATTTATCTCAATTATTTAAATTGGGATGTACTCATTGCTCAAGAACACCCAACTCATGTTTGGAAAAATTTAAAAGCTCCCACATTTCTACTCTATTATATATTATGATCATATTATCCACTTCTACATAGACAAAGCAGAAAGCAAGTAGAAATTATCTATAGGAGAGAAATAATCTACTACAGTAGAAAATGAAGACAATAGAATACAGTATTCATATACTTTTTTTTCTTAATCTAGCAAACAAATATCAATTCTCTGCTTAGTTTACCTGTATGTACACAGCTAGAATAAGAATTCTAATTTAAGGAAATAAAGCCATCAATAGAACTGTTTCTTAACCAACCAGTATGCATTAAGCTGTTGTAGAGCAATGTACCAGGCACTGTGCCACACCTTGCTTTGCTTTAGCTGAGACCATGCAATTCAAGTTTTCCATCCTGTATATCGAGTCTAATAATTGCTTTTGTTTTGTATTCTTTTTCTCACATATTTCAACTTTACTAATTGTTGACGAAAACCACAGAATACTACAAATGAGATCTATTAGTTGCACCATTTTATTAATAGCATTTAACTTTCGCTGTTAAACTATTAACATATAATAAAAAGCTGCAATACTGCATTAGCAGGGTAAATGCATTCTAGTGACTAATAACAAACCATTCACAATTTACTAGGAGCTCAATTTAACCCAAATTATATTGTTAACAATATGCCTGGTTTACTCACATGAAATTTAAAAAAGCACTCTCAAGAATTAACATAAAATACCTTATGCTGTTTATGTACACTATAACTCAGATAGAATGGGTAATATAAATTCCCAAAATTAACGCTTAGGCCAGTCTCTTCAGAATAGCTATCAATGTACAGCCTTACAAAATATATGCCCATCTCTTTCATTTTATCTATATGTCTCCATTTGTACTTGGGTTTTATTTATGGTAGTAAAGTGAAATATATCATATTGTCCCTGTTTGGAGATATATGGCGTTTTATAGGCTCCATGGTCTACCTATAAAATTAACAGAGTTTGATTGTATCATTACAAGTAATTGTAGCAATAGTCTTAAAATAGAAAAACCCTAATAAAACCTTTTACTTTTCACAGAAATCCCCTCTACGCCATTTCTAGAGAACAATCATACAAAATGCTAACACTTGCTGTGTTCTCACTATGTGTTACTTTACACCCATGAATACCCATGAGGATTTACGAAGCAGATGCTGAGACAGAGTCATAGGATAATTTCTCTGTGATCTCCTACCTAGTAATGGGCAGATACAGAGCCCAGAAGAGCATCCATGCCAGCGGCAGTGCTTACCCATTATACTTGACAGTCTTTCAGTATCTGTGGTTAGGCAGTCTCTGCTTAAGCAGTTATGAAGAGGGATGCTTATTTTCTCTCTAGGCCACCCATGGTATTTTTTAACATCTCCTGTTCAGCAAGCCCTTCCTCCGTTGAATCTGTATAATTGATATGTATATCTATTGGTCCTGGATCAACCTCTAAGAGCAGCTCAGAATAAATCAAATGCCTCTATTCATGACATACCCTCAAGTATATGAAAAGAGCAACCACATTTCCTTCACACCTCCTTTTTACAAACTAAACACTTACTAGTTCTGTCAACGCTTTTTATTATGACATACTTCCCATTCTTACCACATTCTGACCGCTCTCCCCTAACTACAATTGTTTGTCAACAACAATTTTACGTTGTGGCACCAAAACTAAAAAACAGTATTTCAAATATGAGTTGACCATTAGAAATAGTACTGGGAGTCTACCCTCCCTTGTCCTTGTCTCTGGTACATCAAAGAACCTTAGCATTTCTGATTAAATGTTACTTCTGACTTTCTGTAAGCCAAGAGCAAATCCATGAAATGCATAGCATAATAAGAATATGAATGTGTTCTTTATAGTCTGCTTTTATTAAATAATGAAGATAAAATCATGGCTTAATTTAAAGAACATACACTTCAAGATTAGTATTTAGCAGTAAACCACTTGCCTAGTGAGTGAGTCTAGATAGCTGCTTAGTCTTCCCATGTTGGTGAACATCATTTTAGATCTAAGGACCTGAGAAGTTTAGACCAAATCCTGCATACACAGCAATGGTCAACTGTAGTACAGAATGTAATGGGCACCAGCTCATATTTCTGTCTCATTCTGACCTTAAAGTCAAGAAAATTATCTACATTACTGAATCAACTCTGTCCAAGCCTGTGCTTGAATATCATTTATATTAAAATTTTAAAAATAAACTATGTATTTATCTTAGTAAATTTTATCTTTTAGTTTAGTTGTGACCTCTGAATCCTTGCTTGGTTATCCAGGCATTAGCTCTCCCTCTCAGAGCAATGGTATCCCCAGATTTGATAGCATGCTATCTTTACCATTTTCAGGATCTGATAAGACAAGGGGAAGCAAGACAAATCTCACAGTCCTGGCTATGCCACTAAAGCAACTGTTGAGCCCAGCAAAGTCACCAGGGCACAGAACAGCACAGTAAGGGAAAAGGGAAAGAGCATCAGTACAGGATCTGGAGACCAACTGGAAATCTAACACATAATCAGGCCATTAAAGACACTATCACCTTTGACTACATCTTCTCTGCCTCTGGCATCTCTAAGAAATTAGATTTCAAAAATCAGAAACCCAAGAAGAACATTCAAATCTTCTCAAGATGTTGTAGTAAAAGGTTTATGATGCTCCTGAATAATGAACGGTAGTAATAATAATGGTCCTCATTATTAAGTGTTTACTCTTGGCCAGGCCCTTCATGTGAGATACTTCTTTAAATCCTACCAACATGCTGCTGAGGCAGATATTATTGTTATGCCTCTTTTACAAAAGAGAAAACTAAGCTACTTGCCCAGGATCCCGCAGATCAAAAGAGCAATCTCAGGATTTGCATCCAGCAGTCTATCTCCAGAGCCTGCACTCTATGACATCTTCCATACTATTATTCCATCCTCTAATACAGAAAGCAATGTTCAGTTCCTGTATTTTCTTCTGAAAATGGTTGCAACCATAGTTTTATTCTGATTTATTTTTGCAGTCTAAAGTATCTAGAACATTTACGTTAATTCTACGACCAAGTAAGCCTACTACTACCATCTTGAGTCTCTGAAAAACTTCCTTCTTTAGCTTAATACCTGTATTTTTCTTTATGCAATTCAAGCTTTTTCATTTATCAATGTGCTAAGCATGTATCATGTTCTCATCATTATACTAAGAGCCTGGGTAATGCTTAAGCTAAATCTGAAAGGTGTTTTGATTTGTTAACAAAAAGTCCTAATCACACATTCAACAGAGAAGACAAAATATCTAAACAAAATTGTTCTCAATGAATTATAAAATTATATATCTGATCTCTACTTAAAATACGAGAGCCTAACTAGCAAACATACACATATTTATATGTCTAAAGTTACTCTGTATGTAGAAATAAAAGGGATCAGGAAAACTGCAGGTATCCTGCCAGGAAACTATCCTGTAATTATCTTTGAAACATTCGGTTATAATTTAAAATGCACTGCAAAGGATCCAAAGAAAAGAGCAAAACAAACTGAATTCTGCAATAGGTTGGTAGATTTGGTGACAGCTTCAACCCGATCCCCCCTGGCCATTAAATAAACAAAAAACAAGATTATATAAGAAACTTCCCAGCAAACACTTAAAGACATAATTGTCCAACCTTCTCAACTCGTCATGATTGGTTCCACTTACACTTCAGGGACTTTCTTATTGAATCAAATACTCCCTGATCACCAAAACTTCTGTTCTTGAGTCTGAAACTCATGAGGTTATTGGCAGCCAGAGAATCATCCAGAGCCTCATATGGCTGCCTAATGCTCCCCAAGCTCTTGTGATGTAGCTGCAACCAAGAGAGAGCTGCAAGCCAAGCTGACAGCCTAACAGATCTAGCACTCTGCCAGCACCAGAGCAGCCCTGGCTCTCTCATGATTGCTTCTGGAGAAATTCCCCCAGAAATTCTTTTTTAAAAAAGTGCTATCCCTGTCCATTTAGGAATATATTAATGTGGAAGTGTTCAGAGATGTATGCATAGAAAGAGGAGGACATCAAGAGAACTAGGAAAAGCATTGGCATTTCCCTTAATGGTGGTAGGATACCTCTTCGTGACCAGCTGTGTCAATCTCAATGTGAACTTGCTCTTTCTAGGCTGTAGGGGATGTTTCCGTGCCCAGTATTGAGACTGCTCCACTACAAGTTGGCATTGTTCAATGTCCTTTACTTCTTCCTCTATTATTGACTTAGCTGCAGGGTCAACTCAGATTCTAAAAAGACTAAAAGGGTCCTTGTTGAAGAGTAAACATAAAACCTACACCAGTTTTCCAATGCACAGGACTGAGTTGTGGCTAGTTTCTACCCCTAAGCAGGATCAGTTGGCCCTGATAACCACCCTTGAGGAAAGCACTATCATGTGTCTCATGTTTCCAATAAAAAAAATTGAGACTCAGGGATGATAAAATTTTTATTTAAGGTCACACAGTTACTAAGTGGATGGAGCAGAACTTGAATTTGACCTCACTAATGGCAGAGCTATATGACTTGAAGTAAAAATGCTCTCAATTTCCTACTTACTAGGATAAATGCTTAAGAAATCCAAATACAAATTGAATAGGCTTTCAAATGACAGCTTTTAACATTTTTTTACTTAAAAGTAGCACAGAAAGGAACTATATAGGATATAAAGGTGTTTTCAAGTCTAGATTTTAGGAAATATTTTTGCTTTGTCAGTTTCTCAAACTTATTCTAACGATATATTACACTGTTTATTATCTACAAAGAGGATAAACAGGTAGAAAAATGTTTCTGACCCCTCATCAAAAGCAAATATAACCTCTTTTCCAAACCAGAAACCTTAGTCTGGACTTTGAATACTGATCTGGAAACAAGTTTTTTAAAGAATTAGCTCAAAGCAGCAGGTTTGTAGCTCATATGACACGAGATGATCAATGACCACATTAGCTACTAATCTAAGGCATAAAACATGCATGAGGCATTAGCATGGAAATCTAACACGTTCCCACCCCAGGTGGCAGTGGATTTCTAATCTGTTGTCCCATCTAATAGGAATAAACTTAAATAGCTTATTTAGAACTTCATTTACAAAGTTTATAATTAGAGTGATTTACTCAAAAGGCAAAGGAGGAAGGCAGATAGCTGGGTGGGGTGTTGAAATGTGAGGAAGAAAATAAAAGCCATTTTCAAAAAGCCAAACTCAACTTCTTAGTAAAAATGACTTTGCTTGTAATTTTGTCTTGAAGGACATTTACCATTCTTATGGAAGGAAATCTGGGTTAGGAAAAAGCATGAGTTCCAGAAGTTGAGTCTGGTTAGGGACCAATAAATAAATCCAGGACTCTGGGCAAGTTGTTTAATCACCCAAATAAAGGTTTCTACATTTTTAACATTTGAATAATAATTCCTGCTTTGCAAGGAATAAAATTTAACAAAAGCAAAGTGGTTAAATACAGTGCCTAACACTTCGGAGGTACTGAATTACTATTGATTTCACCCCTTACAGGATTCACCAGCAAGTTCCAAGATACAAACAAGGTCTCCTCTTCCCAGTTCTGCAATAGCAGGTTCTGATCTAGTCACAGATTTTGAGATATTATTTTTCTCACCTACATTCAGTGCTGGGACAATAGTTGGATGAATTGTTTGATTTGATGTTATATAAAATACTGGATGAATGAGGTTTAGCTAATTTGAAACAAGCAGAGATACAGTTTTTCACTCTTCTCTCAGGTGACTCAAGTTTCTCTACATACCATTTTTGTGACCTGGCTTTAGGCTTGTCTCTAATTTTTGAAAGGTCCAGGTCAAGAGTCCCAATGAAAATCCATATTCCTAAATATTTGTAATGCATAAAACACCTGACAAAATTTAAATGAATATTATAGGTTATCTCCTGTAATCCAGACAGAAGTACCTTCATAATGACGTGGAAGCCTAGATTCAAATTTATAATTGTGAGAGGACTTGGAGTTCTGTGCCAAGACATAGTATCATGGGAAAAGCCAGCTCTTCCTTCTCTTTCCACCCCAGCTCTATCCTACAAAATGAGAGGACTTGCACACATGTGTGTGCTCCAATTAAGACAACTGTCTATGCATGTGTATCACTCATATCCAAGCTGCATCCTCACTGACCACCCCAAAACTATCCATCAAGCCCACTGGTACATCCAAAGACATCATGGTTGGTTCTTTCCCAGAGGAAATTCCTAAGGAAGAGGCCTCTGTGAGTTCTAGAATCAGGCTTAGGATTATTGAGGCTAGGAACTCCAGGGTCTTAGGTACAAAAACACGTCCAGAAACGAGGGAGGCAGGCACCAGGTGGCCATGAGGACTCCAGGTGGCTCTGAGGACACATGCCCCATGTAGATGGATAGGACCAGAGAACCAGATCAGAGCCTGTACTGCATGGAGCCCAAAACAAAGGTCTCTCTTGCCCTGGCTCAGTAAAACCTACTTGCTCAGTTGAGTTTACCTCCACATCATCCCAAGTGCCATCCTGAAGAACAGAGTGTTCACATATTCATTGCAGGGGAACTCCATATCATCCATAAACGTGCTGCAAGGCAGATTGTCCTTCTGCAAGATAAAGTATGGACATCATTATTAACCTTTCTAATTTCACTTTTATACACTAAACCAGTCCTGATAATTAACATGTTCCATCTTAAACAACTAGCTGGGCTAGTTTCCTATCAAGAGATAATAAAAAATAACTTCAATTTTCTTCACAGAAATTTATGGAGACATACATATGTCATATATATGTACTTTAGGGATTCTTTTTCACAGAAAGAATTGTTCTAAGGTATTCTCATGCCCATCCTTATCATATAAAAGTATGTTCTGCCTCACATGTCTAATAATATTTGGCAATCTTAGCACTGCTAAAAGATTTTTCTGGGACACAGAAAGACATTTTACAAGTGGAATTAGGCCATAACACTCACTTTTTGAGGGTTGTGAATACAAGTTATAAGCTACTATTCACAGCTTGTCATTGGCTCATGCTGCTACCCTAACAAGAAACAGCCAGTAGTGAAAGGGCTTCAAGATATCCATGCCCACCAGACTGAAGCTCTCCCAAAAGCCAGAAATTTCATTCATGGACAAGTTGAAGTACCTTTGATTATGACGATATCCCTCCATGAGCTGGTCCTTGCCTACTTCCCCTCTCCCATCTACCATTAATACCTTTGCTGTCTCTCAAGGGCTCTCTACCTCCGAGGGTCTCAAACCATATTGTAATCACCTGGAAAGCTTTAAAAATCAGCTCGAGATTCTGATTTAATTGGTGCACCCTGGCCATGGAGTTTTCTTCCAACTCCCCAGGTGACTCTAATGTGCCTCCAGGTTTTAGAATTACCTTATCATAGCACCCCCAATCTACTTGATCTTTTCTGAACACACCCAGTACTCTCACACTCCTATGCCCTTTCCTTCTGCTTCAAATATCCCTTGCCTACCTGACAAAAACTGCTTCTCATCCTACAAGATTCAGTCAGGTGAAGCCCCACTCCAGGAAGTCAGTCCTCATGCATCCCCTTAGTACAACTAGCAGAGACTATATAATTCATCATCTGAACCAACACACTGTTGAATATCAAATTAAACACTATTAATAATTACGCTGAATGACAGGTATCAACTAGGACTATCTCAGGCACACTGGGACATAAGATAACCCTAATTATAGCTCCTACTATATTAATCAGTAATTGTGTACTAGTTTATCTCCCACCTTAGTCTGTGAAAGCCACTAAAGCAGAGTGTATATATTCGTCTCTCTAACCTCAGTGTCCAGCACAAATTAGACGTTGAATAGATGCTTCTAGAAGATGCCCTCTATTTTATAATGGCTAAGTGCATGGACTCTATAACCAAAGCGCATGGGTTCAAACTCCAGCTCTACCACTTACTAGCTGTGTGACTGGATAATCTGTTGTGTGTCAGAGGCTTCATTTCTGAAATGAAGATAATAATGGCACGTACTTAACAAGTGTTTAAAGGTTCAAATGAGTTTGAACCTAGAACAGTACCTAAACATAGGAATAAGAACATTATGTGTTTATTATTTTTAAAAATAAACCAATTGAATATACTCTAAGTGGCTTTTTTTTCTATGAAACTCTTTCAAACAATCACGCCCATAGTGAATGCTCACAATAATAGCTAACCTTTACTATGATTCACTGTGTGCAAGGCACTGTTACATGCTTTGCACACGTTTTCTCATTGACCATTCATCACAACTCCATCAGGGAAACATCTATTACCTGAAGTTTACAAATAAAGAAACTGAGGGCTCAAAAATAAAGAAGGTTTCCACAGTCCCTCTATTTTATCTTTCCCTAAAGGGGGAAAAAAAAACACCTTCCATTCTCTCTCCCTGAGAGGTTCTTGTGATTTCTTTGAGAAATAAAAGGGCTTCTCTGAAGTCTCTGTTATTAGACAACGGACCTAATGTTTGAGGAAATGGAGAGTGAAAAAGCAATGGCAGTGAAATCTGTGCTCTGGAAGGAGCTCTTGTTATTGCTTTTTGAAGTGTTTTAACAATTCATGATCCAATATTATCAAGCAGGTAATATATAGAAAATAGTATTTTGGGTACTGAGAACACCCAAAATTATAAAATCTTCCTCTTACCTCCAAGGAGTTCAAAATCTAGCTGAGAAAAGAGAGAAAATATTAAATACCATTATAAGGTATAAATTGCAGCCATATAAGGGAGACTCCCAGAGCAACATATGATTAATTCCCAAATAAGTGATAAAGTTTGTATCTGCCACGAGAAGTCAGGAAAGGAAGGACTTTTAAAGAGTGGAGACTGGGAGGGCATGAGATTTGCGTCTTTAAACACTTACTGGTTGAGGGGTTAAGATGGCGGATAGGAGGCAGGACTCGCTTGCAGCTCCCACTCCGACAGACAGAGCAGCGTGTGAAGATTCACATCACGAACTTTTGCTCCAGTGACTACCACAGCAACATACCAGGAAAGCTGAGAAAATCCACACACCCTTTGAAGGAACTAGATCACTGCTGCGGGCTCCCTGAGACGCCGAAAACCTGAATCGGCTTGCTTTCTCAGTGGGGCGGCTTGCGGTCTGAGGCAAATTCTCAGCACCTGGTCACTGGCTTCCTGGAAATTGACTCCGTGTTGCTCACGGTGGTAGTGAGATAGGCCTTTAGGACCGCAGGCTGTGTGGGAGTGTGGTGAAACCCGTGACTGCTGGCTTTCCCTCACTTCCTGGCAACCTGTATGACTCAGCAGAGGGATCTCCCTGGGAATATAACTCCAATGGACTAGGAGCCCCATCCCCATCACCTACAGCAGCTGCAGCAAGCCCCATCCAAGGAGAGGCTGACCTCAGACATGCCTGTCCCTGCCCCAACTTGGTGGTCTTTCTTTAACTGCCCTGGTAGCGGAAGACAAAGGTCATAGTCTCTTGGGAGCTTTATGGTCCTGCCTACCGCCTGAGAAACCAGGACACTTAACCAGGCCACACTAGGGCAAGTTTGCTTCCTCCCTATGGTACCAACATTGTGCTTTTTTTTTTTTTTAGACAGAGTCTCACTCTGTCACCCAGGCTGGAGTGCAGTGGCACCATCTAGGCTCACTGCAACCTCTGCCTCCCAGGTTCAAGCAATTCTCTGCCTCAGCCTCCCGAGTAGCTGGGATTACAGGCACCTGTCACCATTCCCAGCTAACTTTTGTATTTTTAGTAGAGATGGGTTTCACCATCTTGGCCAAGCTGGTCTTGAATTCCTGGCTTCATGATCCACCCACCTTGGCCTCCTGAAATGCTGGGATTACAGGCGTGAGCCACTGCACCCTGCCTTTTTGTTTTGTTTTGTTTTGTTTTTTGTATTTTAATACGGATTTTCGCTCTTGTTGCCCAGACCAGAGTGCAATGGTGCGATCTCCACTCACGGCAACCTCCACCTCCTGGATTCAAGAGATTCTCCTACTTCAGCCTCCCAAGTAGCTGGGATTACAGGGGACTGTGACCATGCCTGGCTAATTTTTTTTGTATTTTTAGTAGAGACGGGGTTTCACCATGTTAGCCAGGCTGGTGTTGAACTCTTACCTTCAGGTGACCCACCTGCCTCGGCCTCCCAAAGCGCTGGAATTATAGGCATGAGCCACTGCGCCTTGCTCTGATGTGCTCTTGAAAGCACCACCTCCTGGTAGGGAGACCAAGCAACACAAAACAAGCGTAATAAGCAAAAACACAACAAATGACCCTCACAGAGTCCATTTCACTCCCCTGCTACCTCCACTGGAGCAGGTGCTGGTATCCATGGCTACAAGACCTGAAGATGGATCACATTACAGGACTCTTTGCAGACACTTGCCAGTACCAGCCCAGAGCTTGGTAGCTCTGCTGGGTGGCCAGACCCAGAAGAGCAAAAACAGTCACTACAGTTTAGCTCTCAGGAAGCCCCATTCCTCCGGGAAGGGGGAGAACATGACATCAAGAGAGCACCCCGTGGGACAAAAGAATCTGAACAGCAGTTCTTGAATCCCAGATCTTTCTACTGACATAGTCTATCCAATGAGAAGAAACCAGAAAAAAAAAAAATCTGGTAATACAACAAAACAAGGTTATTTAATACCCAAAAGATCATAGCAGCTCACCAGCAATGGATGCAAACCAAGAAGAAATCCTAATTGCCAGAAAAAAAAATCAGAAGGTCAATTATTAAGCTAATCATGGCGACACCAGAGAAAGGTGAAGTTCAACTTAAAAAAAAAAATTAAAAACATGATACAAGATATGAAAGAAAATTCTTCAGTGAAATAGGTAGCATAAATAAAAACAATCACAACTTCTGGAAATCAAGAAAACAGAGAAATGCAAAATGCACTGGAAAGTCTTGCAATAGAATTGAACTAGCAGAAAAGAGAACTTCAGAGCTCAAAGACAAGGCTTTCAAATTAACCCAATCCATCAAAGACAAAGAAAAAAGGATTTTAAAAAATGAACAACGCCTCCAAGAAGTGTGGGACTATGTTAAATGACTAAACTTAAGAATAACTGGTGTTCCCAAGGAAAAAGAGAAATCTAAAAGTTTGAAAAACATATTTGAGAAAATAATTAAGGAAAACCCCCCCTGGCTTTGCTAGAGATCTAGACATCCAAATACAAGAAGCTCAAAGAATACCTGGGAAATTTCTCACAAAAAGATCATCACCTGGGCACATACTCATCAGGTTATCTAAAGTCAAGATGAAGGAAAGAAATGAGGCAAAAACATCAAGTAACCTGTAAAGGAAAACCTATCAGATTAACAGCAGATTTATCAGCAGAAATCCTACAAGCTAGAAGGGATTGGGGTCCTATCTTTAGCCTCCTTAAACAAAATAATTATCAGCCAAAAATTTTGTATCGAGTGAAACTAAGCTTCAAAAATGAAGGAATGATACAGTCTTTTCCAGACAAATGCTGACAGAATTTGCCACTACCAAGCCAGCACTACAAGAGCTGCTAAAATGACCTCTAAATCTTGAAACAAATCCTCAAAACACACCAAAATAGAACCCCCTTAAAGCATAAATCTTACAGGATCTATACAACAATAACACAATGAAAAAAAAAAATATTCAGGCAACAAGATAGGCCATATGACAGGCCACAAAACAAGTCTCAGGAAATTTAAGAAAATCAAAATTATATCAACTACCCTCTCAGACCACAGTGGAATAAAATTGGAAATCAACTCCAGAAGGAACCCTCAAAACCATGCAAATACATAGAAATTAAATAACCTGTTCCTGAATAATCATTGGGTCAACAATGAAATCAAAATGGAAATTAAAAAATTATTTGAACTGATTAATAGTGACACAACCTATCAAAACCTCTGGGATACAGCAAAGGTGGTGCTCATACAAAAGTTCATAGCATTAAATGCCTACATCAAAATGTCTGAAAGAGCACAAATAGACAATCTAAGGTCACACCTCATGGAACTGAAGAAACAAGAACAATCCAAACCCAAACCCAGCAGAAGAAAAGAAATAATGAAGATCAGAGCACAACTAAATAAAATTGAAAACAAAAAAGTACAAAAGATAAATGAAACAAAAACTGGTTCTTTGAAAAGATAAGTAAAATTGAGAGACCATTAGCAAGATTAACCAGGAAAAGAAGAGAGAAGATCCAAATGAACTCAATTAGAAATGAAACAGGAGATATTACAACTAATACCACAGAAATACAAAAGATTATTCAAGGCTATTATAAATACTTTTATGTGCATAAACTAGAAAACCTAGAGGAGATAGATAAATTCCTGGAACTATACAAACCTCATAGATTAAACCAGGAAGATATAGAATCTCTGAACAGGCCAATAACAAGCACCAAGATTGAAATGGGAATTTAAAAATTGCCAACAACAACAAAAAAGTCCAGGACCAAATGGACTCACAGCTCAATTCTATGAGACATTCAAAAACGAATTGGTACCAATCCTATCGATACTATTTCAAAAGATAGAGAAAGAGGGAATCTCCCTAAATCATTCTATGAAGCCAGTATAACCCTAATACCAAAACCATGGAATGACATAACAAAAAAAAAAAAATGCTACAGACCAATATCCCTGAAGAACATAGATGCAAAAATCCTCAACAAAATATTAGCGAACCAAATCCAGCAACATATCAAAAAGATAATCCACCATGATCAAGTGAGTTTCATACCAGGGACGCAGGGATGGTTTAACATAATAAATGTGATACACCACATAAACAGAATTAAAAAGAAAAAATCACATGATCATTTCAATAGATGCAGAAAAAATATCTGACAAAAGCAAACATCGATTTATGATTAAAACCCTCAGCAAAATCGGCATAGAAGGGACATACCTTAAGGTAACAAAAGTCATCTAGGACAAACCCACAGTCAACATTATACTGAATGGGGAAAAGTTGAAAGCATTCGCTCTGAGAACTGAAACAAGACAAGGATGCCCACTCTCACCACTTCTATTCAACATAGTACTGGAAGTCCTCCCCGGAACAATCAGAAAAAGAAAAAAGGGCATCCAAATTGGTAACAGGATATGAAAGTGTCACTGTTTGCTGATGATATGATCATATACCTAGAAAACTCTAAAGACTCATCCAAAAAGTTCCTAGGACTGGTAAATGAATTCAGCAAAGTTTCAGGAATCAAAATTAATGTACACAAATTAGTAACTCTGGTATACACCAACAGCAACCAAGCTGAGAGTCAAATCAAGAACTCAACCATTTTCACAATAGTTGCAAAAAAAATTAAATACTTAGGAATACACCTAACCAAGGACATGGAAGACCTCAACAAGAATAACTACAAAACACTGCTGAAAAGACATCAGAAATGACACAAACAAATGGAAACACATCCAGTGCACACAGATGGATAGAATCAATATTGTAAAAATGACCATGCTGCCAACAGCCATCTACAAATTCAATGCAATTCCCATAAAAATGCCACCATCATTCTTCAAAGAACTTGATAAAACAATCCTAAAATTCATACAGAACCAAAAAAAGAGCCTGCATAGCCAAAACAAGACTAAGCAAAAAAAAAAACAAATCTGGAGGTATCACATTACCCAACCTCAGACTATACTATAAGGCCATAGTCACCAAACCAGCATGGTACTGGTATAAAAAATTGGGACATGGACCAATGGAACAGAATAGAGAACCCAGAAATAAAGCCAAATACTTGCATCCAACTGAGGCTTGACAAAGCACACAAAATCATAAAGTGGGCAAAGGACACCCTATTCAACAAATGGTGCTGGGATAATTGGCAAGCCACATGTAGGAGAATGAAACTGGATCCTCATCTCTTATTTTATACAAAAATCAACTCAAGATGTATCAAAGACTTAAACCTAAGACCTGAAACCCTAAAGATTCTATATAACATCAGAAAAAACCTTGTAGACATTGGCTTAGGCAAAGATTTCATGACCAAGAACCCAAAGCAAATGTAACAAAAGCAAAGATAAATAAATGGGACTTAATTAAACTAAAAAGTTTCTGCACAGCTTTTAAAAGAAATAATCAACAGACTTAACAGATAACCCATAGAGTGGGAGAAAAATCTTCACAATCTATACATCTGACAGGACTAATATCCAGAATCTACAAAGAATTCAAACAAATCAGCAAGTGAAAAACAATCGTTTCAAAAAATGGGCTAAGGACATAGACAATTCTGAAAAGAAAATATACAAATGGCCAACAAGCATATGGAAAAATGCTCAACATCACTAATTATCAGGAAAATGCAAATCAAAACCACAATGCAATACCACCTAACTCCTGCAAGAATGGCCACAACATTTTTTTTAAAAATAGATGTT